ACGATCGTAATTACTAGATTATAGATTTTTATATAGTTATCAGATTTTATATAGTTATCAAAAAGATGCAAAATTGTGTGCAATGCATGTCATACATAGAAATATATAAAATGTTCAAAGTAGAGTATTCGTTGTAATGAAGCATCTAAAACAGATTGTCTGAATATCTCGACTTATTGATGACCGAAAAAAATATATTAAATTAAACTTATTTATCATGAGGGGCACATGATCTGATAATAATTTTTTAACAAATGAATATGTGTAAAAGATACATACAGAGCCGAAAATTATAATGTGATTTTTATAATTTGAGTATAATAATTATTTTCAAATGTTCAAGATAGTTTAATTTCATTAGTGAGAAATGTCAAGAAGCAATAATAATGAACAAAAAACGTAATTTTACAACAAACATTGTAAGAGTGACTTCATATGTGAAGTTCTTCGTATATCTCGGCATTCTTTATATAAAAAAAAAAATTAATCAATTTATTAGTTGAAAACCAATTGAATTAGTAAATATTTTAATTTTAATTTTGTAAAATCCAATCTTATACAAAAGGGAAGGATAATTTTGGTTGCGAAAATTGGTGAAAAAATTTAAAATCGGCATTTCAGTGATTACTAATTTCTTTCAACGTAAAAATTCGCATTTTAGTGATTATTAATTTTTTAGTTTGATCTAAGTCTCGAGGCGCGCCGTGCAAGTTGAGCGTAAGAAGCTGGAAGATTGATTAATTCGATGGTTAGCGGAACGATTCGTTTCGACCAAACAAAATGGACACCAGTAAGAGAAGTAGTTGCATGCTATTAATTAATCTTACGCTCGATAAGTTTTACCACGAGGGTAAAACTCGCTAAAAGCGGGCAAGGCTGTTGAGAAATGTTTCGATATATCAGCGTTAAGCCGCACTGTCAGACGCACTCGGATATTACCCTGAATGGTGCTGATGGATACTAGAAGACTCCTCTCTGTCAAGCCACTTGATACACCCATTTCTGAGCACTCCTGAGAAGAAAGGCTCGCAGAAGATGCTGTGTATCGCCCACTTATTCGACTTTTGCGGTTACAGATTCGAACGTATTCTGCGAAAATGTACGCGCGAAAGAAAGTGTGGATGAACGACTATTTTATATAAAGCTAAGCAGTAGCTGAAGACGAGAGAATAAAACAAGCACGACGAATTCATTTTCGACAAACATTGGTACGCATTTACTCTCGGATAGTATCGTTGGAAATTAGTGAAAAATAACAATTTGTTTCGTTACATCGAAGTCGTGTTCAAACGTTGAAACGTAAGTTTTGTAATTGAAGTTTCCTCATGAGTGAAATTTTGATCGATCGCGCGATATTAAAATTCCGTTTGTCAGAAATCTTGAAATTAAGCCCGCTCGTAAAATATCGCTGTAAATTTATTACTGCTACACAGTCATTTTTAATCGTTTAAATGATATAGCGTAAATTTTATAATTGAAGTCCTATCGTGATTGAAATTCTGCTTGCAGGCTGCGAATTTTTATTCATATAGGAAACTTTAATATGTGAAATTATATACAATAGATATACGAACGAATTTCGATACGAGATGTGCGTAATATGAATAAATTTATAAAATATTTAAAGAACAGTACTTTCTATCGAAGCTATTTTTTTCCATCGTATTCTACAAAATATGAAATATGAAATATTTGCATAAAAATTCGATCGGTCACACGACATTAGAATTCGGCTTGTCGAAAGTACAGAAATTGATCGAAATTTTCATTACTCTCTCGAGTACTAAACTTAGTCAAACACTGCTATAAAATTTCTCACTATATCGAGAGTGTAATCATATTGGAAACGACAAGTAAGTCTTTTACAATTGAGATACCATCGTCATTGAAATTGCTTCGCACGATATTAGAATTCTATTCTCTAACACAGAAGTTGACAAAATTCTTCTAAGCTTAGTCAAATATTGCCATTGAAATTTCCGGACTATATCGAGCGTGCAGTCATATTTAACCATCGAGGCGATATGACGTAAGCTCGTATATAATTGAAGTTCCATCGCGATTAAAATCCCGATCCAGAACGTGCACCGGAATTAATGCACCGGCTCAGTTCTTCTCGCTGTGCAGTTCACCTGCATCTTTCTTATCCCCACGAAAATACGATTTCCTGTGTGAAAGAGAAGAACTGGACCTTGTACTTTCTCGCAAATTTCCGTGTTCTTCCATGCGAACTGCACTTGATGCGCACGGGAGTAAAGAAGTCGGCCTCCGTGGCTGGGTATTCTCCAAACGGTAGTTCACGGCGGAATACCTGCACTCCCCGGTGCCAAGATTATGCATCGTTGAATATTATCAGTGTAAATAAAGCTGCGGGATCTCCCTACCATTTTCCAATATACTTATCTCGATCTGAATCCTGGACGGAACACCTGTTCGGCGTCGTTACGCATTGCGCGACTAACGCGTTGTTAAAAACCGGCGAACGAAATGCCTCGCCACTGATGGAATTTGAAATCTCGTCCGTGGGAAGATATTAGCTGGATTAATGCAGCGAGAGAAAGAGTTGCATAATCCCTTCCGATCTTTCGGAGCGAATATTTCTGATCTTGGAGAGCAGATTTTCTAATCCAATGCTGATTTATACTTCGAAACTCGTGGTACGTTGTACGTCGATATCTTTCGTCAGTACTGATTAGAAATAGTGTTTGAAGTGAACTGATGATATATAATATATATTGAAATAAATATATGATAATACTGTAAT